TTGTTTTATTTTAGATGCCAAGAACTCCAAAAGAAGAGTCAGTCTAGGGAAAACTTGTAGCTCAAGAAGCTAAGATAAGAGAGCTTCAAGAAGAAGTCCTAAAGTTACAAGAAGAGGTAAAGCAACTTAAGAAAGAAAATAGGACTTTGCGACGTCAAAAATCAAGGTTGGATTTCAGAAAGGAGGAAGAAGAAATTTAGAAGGAGGTTCATTTGGTTCCAAAAAGTAGTTTAGATTGGGCTCCTATAGAGTGGGTATTAAATAAGGAGTGGGTTAAGAAAAATCCAGGAGTAGATCCAGGTAGTCTACCAAAAGAAAAATAAATTTGTAACTAAAATTTTGTAAAAATAAATTGTTCGAAAAATAAAAATAAAGTTTTAAAATTAATAAAAAAATAAAGTTTTAAGAAGTTGTTTGATAAACTTCTAATAAAAATAAAGTTTAAAAATTGTTCGAGAAAAATAAAGTTTTAAAAGTGTTCGAGAAAAATAAATCTGTTTCTAAAATTATTTAAAAATTGTTTGAAAAAAAATAAATCTAAGTCTAAAATTGTTTAAAAATTCAATGTATTTTCATCGAGTTTCGAAAATTTTCACCAAAAATTCTAAGTTTCGAAAATTATGATAAAATAAGAATTAAAATAAAAATCGAAATTAAAGTATTCCTAATCGAGTAAAGGAAATACTTAAAGTGTATCAAGGGCATTAAAATAAGATTACTATTATTCAAATGAATAGTAATATCGAATAAAATAAAAGAATAAAAAGATAGCAGATGTTGTAACTTAAGGGGCACTACCTATACTCGTCAGTCGGGATTGCCACGCCCTAAGCTGGATTTGAACTCTCGACCTAGGGATCGACTAGGTACATACGTCCAAACCATTATCCTACAACTGCTTAATGTCTAAAATTTTTCACAGACCCTTTTTAGGTAGCAAAGATTTGCTAACAATTGTTTAATAAAATAATTTAAATTTGGTCATGTGAAATTAAAATTTAAAGGTGCATAAGGTTTAAAGATAAGATCGATAAAATTAAACTTTAAAAAAAAATAAATTTTAAAAATTTAAAAATTTTTAATGAATAATAATAATAACAATAAAAATAATACTTCGCTATTTCAACCACGAACAAAAGAGATCCTCTGGTCAGCACCTAAGAGGAAGCTCAAATAATTCTCTTTTTGAAGCTTTGGATGTAGTCCAAACAGAAAATAGAAGGTATATATCGATAATATATTATGTTGGCAATAATAATATATTTTAATATCTGGTTCTAAAATTAATTAGGTTGATGCGAGAGATAAGAAGTTTACATCATCAAGTTTGGGAGTTAGAAGAAAGGGTCGAGGTGCAACAGGAAACTATTGTGAAAAACGTTTCGAGGAGTTGGATGAGAGATGCAAAGTATGAGAGGTTGTTGAGAGAAAGAAATAGGTTGCAGGCTCAGGTGTTGAATTTAGAAGAGGAGGTTAGAAGGAGGAGAGGAAATAATAATGATAATAATAATAATAATGGTGAAGGTAGTGGTAGTAGGGAAAGAATGGTAGAGTTTGGGTTTTTTGGAGGGAGATAGATGTAAATAAAATTTAAGTAAATAAAATAAATAAAATTTGTTGTTGAAATAAATTCTGAGTCTAAGTATTATAAATATTAAATTATTAAATAAAAAAAAATAAAGTAGTAAATAAAATAAAAATAAAATAAAGAATAAATGTCACTATATGTGGTATTTCATATTAAAAGGCTCATTGATAAAACAATTTTTCAAGAATTGTTAAAATGGACCTTTTTAATATGAGGCACTCTATATACTTACCTAATCCCTAACCCTTACCCTAATTTTAAATTAAATAATTAAATTAAATTAATATGAATCAGTCTTTATTAGTAGCTTTTGTTATCGAAATTGTGTTACTATTTTTTTCAATCCATTCAACTAATCCTTTAGAGAATGGATCTTGGTTCATTAAACCCTTTGCAACATAAAACTTATTTTTCCCTGATTTATCACTAGTATCTTTAATCCAAGTTACAAGTGATTTCTTTTTTGGGAAATCTTTTAATTCACTCAATTTAACATCAATTTCCACGCGACGTGTTAACCAATCATACATTTCTATGGTTATGATAGGATCACCTGAGGCTTGCAACACATAAGGATTAAATACTTTACGTTGTTTCGGATTATAACGTAAACTTGGAGGGAGATACATAAACAAACGACTGACATACGTATCAGTCATATAATTAATAAATAAAATCGAGGGAATTGGTGCGAATGCAGCTATTCATAAAAAAAAAAAAAAGGATATCAGTAAACGAGAATACTATATTCTAGGGATGTCATCGATCCAGTCTGGTCTGGTTTTAGTCTGATCTATTATAATTTATAATCTTATTAAGACTTAATTAGTCTAAACCGATTTACTGCTACTTTCATAATTTCTGGAACACCTACTCGTTACCCGAAATCTTTTTGGTCATCCGGTAAATTATCTA